GAAACCCTGGCTCACACTAAGCTCTCCAGATGTACACACACGAAGCACACGCCTGAGACCAAGGTTAGCTTAATGGAGGACAAAATGTGTATTTGAAGGTAAGGATTAATCTGCAAGAACAAAGCATTCAAACTTCACGCAGTTCAGAGCAGAGCCCAGGACGGAGCATGGCATGGGTGCCACGTGTCGCCTTGGTGGGCAAGGGGGTCAGACAGGGGTCCTGGAAGAATAGAGCATAAAATGACTTCGTTACTGCCCGCCGTGCACGACGGGTGAAAAGGGACTAAGCAGTTCTGATCTTTATGTCCCTGTGGCCATCCCTCGTCTGTCTTTAACCACGGACTATCCTGGGCGTCGGCTCTGCCGCAGGAATTCCATTCTCTACGCTTTAAGTCGTACGCATAAAGGAGCCCGCTAAGCATGTCTGAGGGGCACGTGGTCAGTGCACATGAGTCATTCGACTATCAGGGGCCGGGAGGCTGCCCAGGTGCATGGATGTCGGAGCCTGCAGTGTAGACAGCCACGGGGAGCCACCGCGGTCTGCAGAGGTGAACGCCAGGACTTAGGCACATAGACACCTGGGGCCTGGTATTCTCTCTCCCAGAACAGGGGCCAGAACTGTCCCCCTGGCAGCAGTGACAACCAGAGGGACTAGGAGCTTCCTCTCCCTTGCAAGAAACAGTCATTCTGAGCATGGCAGTCTTGGCACAAGGCACGATTGCAGGACGAGGGGGTGACAGACACAGCTGCGGAAAAGAGCAAGCAGAAGTCATCCGCAGAGGCACAGAATTCTTGGCTCTCGGTGAGAGAGGGCATTAGGAAATGTGAGTGCATTATCTAGCACGTGCTAAGTTATTACTTACTTTGGCGCACGCACGCTCACGCAAATACACGTGCAGATGGATGGACGTCCCTGACACGTGTGGTCGTCACAAGTCTGTGGACACTGTTGTGGTCAAAGCCTCCCTTTCTTTCAGCAAATCTAACGGACCGCAACCCTCCTCGGCCATTGACACCTGAGCCACACCTGCTGCTGTACACAGGAGCTGCGCTTTGTACAGAAGCGTCTCCTTGCCGAGACGTCCCCTCTGAAACTCTGGGAGCATCAAATGACAAAGAATTTCCAAGACAGAAGCATCTGCCTTATTTGTGAATATGACAATTCCTTCTAGTTCAAAATAAATTGCGATGTCCTTTCACGGCTGGCCTTCCCCTCTCCGTCACTGCAAGCACGGAACAAAACCGAAATGTCACATTATGTAAACAAAGCAAAAGTTCTTTCCTCAAAGTCAGCACTCGGAGCTTCAAAGGTTGTCAAAGGCGCTTATTTTCTGAAGGGTTTTCTTCTTCCTAAAGTACAGGATATTTACTTACGAAAAATCAGACACGCAAACGCCTTTCCAAGACGGTTGTTACTGATGAAATTTGGCAGGCGAGGAACAGCTGCGTCAACCAAGCCATTGGACAGGCAACTCCGCCTTCCGACGATTAAAGTTAAAAGCCCGAAAATGCTATAATTTTGTCATTTCTGTTCTCCCCTGGCTACCGCCTTACTTCGCAATGAAAAAATATTATGACAACAGTGTTCTTCCTGTAACTATGTTCCAGAAGCTGCAAACGCGAACGAACGTGTGCCGTATATTTTTACATGTTGACGATGTTACAATGTGACATTTTGCCGTGACTGACTAAAAGGAGGTTACCTACATGAATGTCAGTGAGTATTTGTTTCAAAATGTAAGTAAGTGGTAGACATCGCCATAACCATCAGAAGCCACCTTCCTCCAAATGAGACTCAGTGGGTGTGCCTGCTGTTCGTGACCTTACGCGGAGGAAATTTTGTCTCGAGTACAGGAAGTGTCTGGTCAGCTCCGCAAACAGCAGAGATGTGTTCCATGTTAATTTTCTGCATCCGTGCTGGTTGGAGTTACCTGATGGACAAGGCCGATGTCACCTGGAGAAGGGGTCATGTATAAAAATTGGCTACTCTGCAACCTGCCTTCGCTTGTGTTTGTATGGCTTGGGAGCAAACACAGTGACTTACAGAGTCCTCCCATAAAGAAACGCCTTTCCAAAAGCGTCTATTGCTAAGCTAACACGAGAGCATCAAGCCGCCACCCTCTCCACGCCGGGGCTCGGCTGCAGTTCACAGGTGGGACCCAGGTGGGTGGGTCCTGAGGACACAGACGATCAGCTCCCAGCAGACTGGGAGGCGTATGTCCTGAGACTGCAGGCAGGGGGCCATCTGCCAATAATCTCAGAGGACCGAGACAAAGCAAGGACCCCATTTACCCCATTTCCTCACGGCGAGACTCCACACTGCAACGCACGGAACTGTGTCTAGGAACATCTGTGGCCATATGCTTCCCTTTCTCACCAAAAAGGAAGGAAGGAAGGAAGGAAGGAAGGAAGGAAGGAAGGA